TCGTTGAAGTCGAGGCCGGCCGAGAAGGTCTTGCCGGCGCCCGATATGACCACAACTCGCGATTGCTTGTCGTCATTGATTTCGTTGAAACACGAGAAGACTTCGCGGAAGAAGTCGCGGTTCATTGCGTTGCGTTTGTCCGGTCGGTTCAGCTGTACGTGCAGTACGTGATCGAAAGGGGCCGACACCTGGAGGGTCTCGTACTCGGCGTATCGGGTGGTGTAAGCGGCGGCCGAGTAGTTGCGGATCAATGTGTTGAACGCATTGACGGCTTTCCTCTGTTGTAAGGCATTGCTCTGAAGGCATAGTTGGCCTAAGATTTGAAATAATAAATTTTTTGTTTTAATTTTATGTGTAATTAATTTAAATGTTTTTTTCAATGTTTAAACTTGTAATTTATAAAGTTAAAAAGTTATGCAATATTTAATTTAAGGTTTATATTAATCAATGTGTTTTTTAATCATAGAATTTTGTGACAATTATTGTAAATACTTTTTACGATACAAATGCCTTATGTATGCAATGATTATCAGTGAATCGGTTCAATGAATGCATTTTGGTCTCCAAACTGACGACTAGTAGTGAATTTACGACAGAAAACCACAAAACTTATCGCTAAAACTCCACTCAAACGGCATATTCTGGACTTTGAGACAATCATCTACTGTCAGCCCAAACGCTATCATAAACTCGCAGATTATGTGATAAAAATTGTTTTTATAATACATTGAAAAAAGGGAATCAATCGACAGAACAAAGAGCGAGAAAATACAATAAAATTACATACAATATAAAAAATATTGTCACAATTGTGTAACCCTTACGTATAAACAATTTGTTAATAACATAGTGGTTGTTGTTATTGAATAAAGTTTTTCAAATATTAATAACAAGCGATACTCTCACATGTTTTCCCCTCAAAGGTCCTTCAAATGGCAAACTCCAAGGTCTGGAAAACACTTGATAACATGCCTGTCCTTCAAATACATTATGCACACAAGTATTATACAGTAAATCAGGAAATATCTCGTAATTAATTAGGTTTTGTGTTAAAAATATCATGTTTTTCGAGAGATTACTAAAAAATAAATTTATTTAAATGCGATATAATTCTCAATTTAATCGCTGTTTCTAAGGGCCCAACAAATTGTCTGCAAAACTATCACTCGTAGGGAACTGCTAATCATAAACATATTTGAAATTTTAGCCGGGATATGCATTATCTCAAGTTTACAAGCCTTTTAATTTGTTTTTAATTAAATAACTAATTTCGAAATACTTTAATTTACTGTAATTTATTGTAAACATGTTTATAATTATTGATAACTTTTATAAACTACTTAAAGCATATTTAATTAAATTCATATTAATAATACTGTACTGTTTGGTTTATAAAACAGGTGTTTAGGTTAGAAAATAAGTTTGTAACATTTGAATCATATGATTCATTCATTTTAATATTAATAGCAAATAACTACAAAAACAATAGCTATGTTTGAATCAATAATGGTTTAATTCTTAAGCAAATAATTATGCATAAGATTATCAGATAATATTGCAAACAATGAGAACCAGAATTTATCGCAAATTCTGGTTAAAACTGATACTAAAATACTACACTTAACTACAGTTTAATTGTAATTAATCTGTACTCTCTTTGTCCGTCTTCGGGTCCTTTTCTAATGATAATTATTATCTATATTTTTGCATTCGTTGAAGTCGAGGCCGGCCGAGAAGGTCTTGCCGGCGCCCGATATGACCACAACTCGCGATTGCTTGTCGTCATTGATTTCGTTGAAACACGAGAAGACTTCGCGGAAGAAGTCGCGGTTCATTGAGTTTCGTTTGTCCGGTCGGTTCAGCTGGACGTGCAGTACGTGATCGAAAGGGGCCGACACCTCGAGGGTCTCGTAGTCGGCGTATCGGGTGGTGTAGGCGGCGGCCGAGTAGTTGCGGATCAATGTGTTGAACGCATTGACGGCTTTCCTCTGCTGTAAGGCATTGCTCTGAAGGCATAGTTGGCCTAAGATTTGGAAAAATAAATTTTTTGTTTTAATTTTATGTGTAATTAATTTAAATGTTTTTTAAATGTTTAAACTTGTAATTTATAAAGTTACCAAGTTATGCAATATTTAATTTAAGGTTTATATTAATAAATATGTTTTTAATCACAAAATTTTGTGAAAATTATTGTAAATACTTTTTACGATACAAATGCCTTATGTATGCAATGATTATCAGTAAATCGGTTCAATGAATGCATTTTGGTCTCCAAACTGACGACTAGTAGTGAATTTACGACAGAAAACCACTAAACTTATCGCTAAAACTCCACTCAAACGGCATATTCTGGACTTTGAGACAATCATCTACTGTCAGCCCAAACGCTATCATAAACTCGAAGATTATGTGATAAAAATTGTTTTTATAATACATTGAAAAAAGGAAATCAATCGACAGAACAAAGAGCGAGAAAATACAATAACAATAAAATTACATACAATATAAAAAATACTGTCTCAATTGTGTAACCCTTGTGTATAAACAATTTGTGAATAACATAGTGATTGTTGTTATTGAATAAAGTTTTTCAAAATATTAATAATAAGCGATTCTCTCACATGTTTTCCCCTCAAAGGTCCTTCAAATAGCAAACTCCAAGGTCTGGAAAACACTTGATAACATGCATGTCCTTCAAATACATTATGCACACAAGTATTATACAGTAAATCAGGAAATATCTCGTAATTAATTAGGTTTTGTGTTAAAAATATCATGTTTTTCGAGAGATTACTAAAAAATAAATTTATTTAAATGCGATATAATTCTCAATTTAATCGCTGTTTCTAAGGACCCAACAAATTGTCTGCAAAACTATCACTCGTAGGGAACTGCTAATCATAAACATGTTTGAAATTTTAGCCGGGATATGCATTATCTCAAGTTTACAAGCCTTTTAATTTGTTTTTAATTAAATAACTAATTTCGAAATAATTTAATTTACTGTAATTTATTGTAAACATGTTTATAATTATTGATAACTTTTATAAACTAATTTAAGTGCATTAAATTAAATTCACATTAATAATAAATTGGTTTATAAAACAGGTGTTTAGGTTAGAAAATAAGTTTGTAACATTTGAATCATATGATTCATTAATTTTAATATTAATAGCAAATAACTACAAAAACAATAGCTATGTTTGAATCAATAATGGTTTAATTCTTAAGCAAATATTATGCATAAGATTATCAGATAGTATTGCAAACAATGAGAACCAGAATTTACCGCAAATTCTGGTTAAAACTGATACTAAAATACTACACTTAACTACAGTTTAATTGTAATTAATCTGTACTCTCTTTGTCCGTCTTCGGGTCCTTTTCTAATGATAATTATTATCTATATTTTTGCAAAACCCAGGAATAAACAAAACTTTTCGGTTTCAAAGTTTAACTAATCAGTTGATCATTGGGAAAGACATGTGAATAACACATGTGTGGTATCATATTGAAGCCAATGTAATGTTATTCATTAAATACATGATACTTTATACGGTATGTATATAAAACCCGTGTCCCGGAGTCCAAAAGGGCTATAAAGCAGTAAACTTTATACCTTTCCCACCGGGCTATCAGTTTCCTAATGGTTTGGTTAAAAAGACTTTGGTATTAGATATTGGTTTTCGGGGCCAAACCTATGGTTTAAAAGTCATGCACTGATAAAACAAATTGCAAACAAACACTATTTTTAGACATTTATTATACACTTTAGACTTTTTCATGTTTCAAGGCATTGAAATGTAGTGGAAGTTTACAATTACATTGAAATTACAATTGATAAAAAACTTTTATTTAAAAAACACATGTAATTGACTGAAAATATAAACTTTTTTAATCGTTTAAAAGGAAATATTATGTAATCGTTTATGGATTGAGTCATTGAATGGGTTTATCATTGCATTCATAAACATTAGTTATATTCAGTATTTATATTTAATTGCATTTAATTATATGCATAGATATTCATGTAAATTAAAACTAATTAAAAATTATAACACATCTAGTAAACTCATAGTACCATTAATTGATCATGGCAATATAATACAAAATAAATAGCATTTAAATACTCACCAAATGTCTTGAATAGTTTGGATGACATGTTTGCTAGTATAGTTAATTATTAATTATAATTCAAACTGATATAACTTTTTTCTCATTTAATAAAACGTTAAATTAATTAACAAAAAGTAATCGGATTTAAGGCATTCAACGAGTGGTTTCTCAAATAACAGTAAAACAAATGACAACTTTTCAGTCTCTTATATACTGTGGGATAAAATGAGGGAAATATAAAGTGCACAACAAATCGATAGTAACGACAAATGTGTTTAACTCTGGAAACAACTTTTAATTGGACGTGAAGTACAGCAATGAGTTTTGTATAGAGAAAAGTCTTTATCTGTCTCTGGAAACCAGTCACCACTGCTGATGGTTATCAACACAAAAAAGTTTTTATGCAAAAAAGATATCACTGGTTTGGGTTGGGTATAGGGTTTCACACAGTTTACACTCTCAATGACAATACTCATTGAAAAACACTTTTGACGTAAAGCCCACCAAATGTGCAGACTTTGAGGAGACTTTCGCTATTATCGACAAACACTTGCAGTCAAAGTCTACATTAGTTAATGGGATTTCTCTCGACAATCAGTCTCACAGTTGTAAATAACAGTAGAAATTGTGAAACTATAGCAATTTTATTATTACTACAACTTATTTACAGCCAAATAGCTCTAGATAGCAACTTTTTCTAATAAACACTTCAATACTTATACTATTAGTTATATCATGATATATTTTTTGTTATAAATATTATTTAATAAATTATTGTCTATTTGGCAATAATTATTATTCCGTTCATTTAAAAACACAACTATTTTTCCACCTAAATGTACCTGTTTATCACTACCTATACCTTTAAGGTTTCAAAGGTTTTTTAGTGGTAAATAAGTATAAATCAATTCTTGTTTATTACTTTCGAGAATATATTCACTTATTTTCGTATTTCTATTATCTCTCGTGTTTTTCAAACAAAACTTTTAGTCAAATATTTATTTTGGCGACAAATAAATATTATTATTAAGTTAAATAAATACTGTACACAGCTTTTTAGCCAAAACAGGAAATATTCAGAGTTTTCTGAAAGTTTTGTTGAATACTTATAATCACTTAAATAACTGTCAGTTCCTCACCATAGAGTTCCCACTTTTATGGATAATTTTAATATAAAAACTTTTATTTAATTATTTTACACAATGTATAAGTCATAAAGTTGTATAAGTTTTCACACAAAATTAATATCAAAATGTATGTCCAGTCAATTTTTAGACCTATGAATGCCTGGTGAGTGCGGCCACGTATACCCACACCGAGAATATACTGGACGGGTAGGGGTGGACATAGACTGTGAGCGCGAACTCCACTCTCTTATCCTCAGCCAAATGGACTCCAGTGGCGAACACGGCTTCAGTGATGGACGCGAAGTCATTGTACGGCATATTCAACGGGAAACCAGTCATCTGTCGCACCCATCAATACAAACAAAAGTTTAACTATCGATAACTACCGGCCCTTAATCGGCCATCAAGTGGGCAGACAGCTCGACATATACCTCGTGTAGGACGAAGACGTCGTGTAGTTCTTGTATGAGATCATTGACCTGCACTTTGCCGGCGCTCTCCAGTCGGGGCAGCATTTTCTTAATGGACTGAATCACGTGTCGGTTAAAGAAAGTGCGGTTCCGTTTGCGCCATCGCATGAACGACTCCCTCAGATGTCTGTCCAGTTTCTCCTGAAGTTTCATCGCGTTGTCGAAGTCGCTGGACGTGTATGTCAAGGATCCCGGCTATCAGTATACCATTAATATACATAAATATTTTTGTGTTTTCAAGAGACAGGTGTGTCCGGGTGTCTAACCTGAATGCTGACAATCGGTGGCATTGGATACTGTTTGCCGAAAAAAGGTCGCCAATCGGAGCTCTTACTGATGTCATAATTCAGACGATTCGGATGATCTGATTTCGAGATATTTGCGTAAATCTGATCCACAAATAAATTAAAAATAATTTTATTATAAACTAATCATTACTTTAAAAACTTTTCTCTCATTACATTTTCCTGTGTTATAACACAACCGATTGAAGTCAACGGCAGATAACTATCTCTGACACTAAACTGTTCGCCAGTGGAGGCGTTGAAGACAATGGGATCTCTGCCGTACTCAAAGACAATTACGTAAGCCGTGGAGCCCTCCGGTATGCCATAGCCCAGCAAAATGGCGGCCCTTTTCTCGAGGTATAGGAAGTAATTGCAGAGAAGGACCGCGTGTTCCTCTTCGCCGCCTAACAACATGTCTAAGAACTGGTCACAAGTGCACCAAATGTCGCAAACGCCGGGAAGGGCTACGCTGTCGGGCAGCTCCGGTATGAGTGACACAAACCGAGCCAAGCGTTGCATTATATCTGCCGTGACGTTAAAGTTGACCAAAAAGTCTTCGGGCGGTTTAAGTGGATGCAAGTATCGGCACACGAGCACCGACTTGGCCTCCATGGTAACGGCCAGTGTCTTGACATTTCTGGTGGGGAACTCCTGTTTGAGTTTGTTTTGCCACTTCTTGGCGTAAATGTTCAATGAGTCGCTCTCTATTGTATCGCACTTTTTTGAATGGTAAGAAAATTATCATTATATTTGTTCCCATAATGGATGTTTGACTTACTTTTATGACCAGCGGTTCGGGCAGTTGTAGGGACGGGTCGACTGTCACAAATAGCGTTAGGTATGTCTGTTTGGACGAGTCTTTAGCAGTGGTGTCGGCGCCCAACAGATAGTTTTTGGTGTCGTATTCATAGCCCAACAGAAGCAATGGTGTGCTTAAACTGAATGTGCCTTCGAGTGAGACATTAATTCTCATTAGATTTTAAAACATAATTCAATTTTCAATCAAACCTTCAATTTTAGAGTTGAGATACAGTGTAGAAAATGGTATCTTAAGTGAGCCCAACCACCGGCGCTCTGTTCGCTTGTGTATCACTTTCTGGCCATCGCTAGTAATTGTCTCATCCGAGTCGAGCACCACCTCATCGAAGAGATTCAAATAAATACAATCAGTTATTTTGGCCAAACTTGATGTCAAACTATCGCCTTCTGGAGCTCTAAAACACAGTTTCACACAAATTATTAATAATTTTCGTACAGAATTTCAAGAATATTCTCGTATTACTTGAACTTCAGGGAAAGTGTCTCATTCCACGTGGGTTTAGTGCCCTCAGCGGTGTTGGTTCGGGCAGATTCTCGTTGAAACACCGCCTCAACGAATGGACACACTTTGCACTCGTAGGGAAAGCCTATCAAAAAATCAAACCTTAATAATACATACAATTAACGGCATAGGAAGTCGAAAACCCACTATTATCTCCTCCACTGCCACCATAACTGGTGCTGACGGTGTCCTTCTTGCGGACGGGCACATTCAAGCCGTGCATAATTGTGATGACAATCTTAATCTCAGAATTGCTCATCAAATTGATTGCTATCTTCTTGCGCTCCTTTCGCTGCGGATTCAATGGTCTCTGTTGCTGACCCACCGGTTGTATGAGTGTAAACCCAATGGCACTGAAAAAAATCAATTAATTTATGACATTTTGGTGATAATTGAACACAAACCTGAATCCGAGCACATCCTCCTCGACCACCATATCCTCCAGAGTACGGGGTCTGTCAGCCGTACCGCTCGACTGTTTAATCAGCTGTTGGCCCACTTTTGTCAGCATATCGATGGCAGCCTCGCGTTTGTCTTCAAACTGTTGTTTAGTACTCGATGAGCTCTGAATCTTCGGCTTATCCTCAAACAGATCCGCCGGTATCTCCTTCTCGTTGAGCGGTACGAACCGGTAGTTTCTGAATGGCAGCACTCCTTCCCATCGCGCGCGCAGTAAACGGAAGCGCCGGTTGTTGTCGATGTCCTCATCGGTGGCGAACTCGAGCTCTTTGGCCGAGATCTTCGCCGAATCAGTCGCTGACGAGCCATTGATGGCCTGTCTGTACGTCTCGATGCGATTGATTAGCACCGAATTGTTGGGTTCAACCGACTCCTGAACCTTCAACTGTTGCATCAATTGATCCAATTCTTCAACACTAAGAGTGCCTAAACTCTGCGAAAACCTCCGCTCTTTGAGTCGATTACTCGCAGCTACTCTTCCGTCGACCAGAAAATCGCTGTTTTCTTCGCCTCTAAACCACTGCATAATTATCTCCCGAAACGAGCGGACAGTTGGCTTGGATTCAGTGATAAGTTCTTTGTCTGAACCCAACTGGGGATCAAAATATATAGAGTTTTTAATCTCAATCCTATCGTTATTCTCAAGAAAACACGCGTTTGTGTCCAAAAACTTGTCTCTCAATCCTTCGCCAATCAATCGGTTCTTAATTTTCATCAAATTCTTCGCCGAAATATTTTCGTTGATTTTGTTCAACGAATCCAACTCTTGATGAGCCGCCAACTCATCCATCACTTCCAGCCCCTTATCGGACGGTATGTACAGAAACTTCATCTCATCTCTAATCCGATCTTTCCTCGACTTAACCACCGATTCGTTTCTGTCAAAGAACTTCCAGTTATGAGTGGAACTAAACATATCGATAACCAGTGGCCGCGAGTCCTGGCCCTCGATGTCAATCGCTTCTTCTCCCACTCTTTTAGGCGATGTCTCGCTCTTTGGCTCCGTCTTCGGCTCAGTATTTGATCCCTCGATCGACACATCGGTTCCGAAGAAGAACTCTTCGGACTCCTCTCTGGAGGCGCTGTTTTCGATGAACTCTGCGCTCAACTCTTGGGATATCTGTTGTTTCCATTGGTTTCTGGCGTTCAGATGAGTCTCGATCTCACGCCTCAATTCGTTGTCGTGGGTCTCGAGCGCCTCCTTTGCGCTGAACTTCTGTTTTGTGCGGATTTTCGCTGATTTCAGTCGATTCCGGAGTTTGTTTCTGTAGGCCTCAGAAAATGTTAATTCCTGTGAATCCATGGTCTCTGTGGTCACATGTGAGGGATGTGTTGACAGTAAATATTTCTGTGCTTTGCCTTCACTATGGCATAGGATATCATATAAAGGATACAATAATTGAATCCATGGATACAAGAAGTGTGAGAATCACAACAAAACAAAACTTTTGAATCATCTTTTATTCAAGTCACTTTTAAAATAACATACGGTAATATTTCAATAAACTTGGTTAACAAAACATAAACTAGATTAAATTAATTAAAGCGTTAATTAAATTTATAGTCAATTATAATTTATAATTCTATACATAAGTCTAAACCGCTTATAGTGAACAACAAGGTAATTATAACCACAACACCGGTATACTGTATAACTACAATAGAAAACCCTTGAAATAGTGCATGTTATATAAAATAATATTACCGGTATTATTTTTATAAATTAATTGAAATTAATACTAAATTATTAGATTAACCCCCCATAAACAGAATATTCTGTAAGTTAACATGGTCAATATACTGTAGAAAGTTATACTTGAACGCAATTCCTGTTTTGTATGAAATGAAAATTTTTATTTAAACTAGAAATTCATATATTTTATTTATTGACATATACAGTAAGTTTATAAATTATAACTCATAGCAATTAGTCCACACAATCAATGGCCAGTTTCGTAAGTTTAGGGCAATGTTTATGGCATTCATCGATGCCTATTTGGGTACTTTGTATGCAATTAATTTTGTAGAGTTTAATAAATTGTATTTTCTTGAGTTTTGCCAATGAATGCAATACTTTGTCCGTAATTATTAAACGATTAAGACTTATGTATTGAAGTCTCGGTGAATGTTTGTCAATATTTAATAAAAACAATTCATTGCATATTTTATTGTAATCATTAGAGAGTGTTAAATGAGTCAATCGTTTCATACCATTCAGCGATTCACACATTAATTCATAGTTTTGCGGCAGATTTACATTCACTTCCAATCGTTTTAATTGTTTAAAGTTTGTATTAATTGTATGCATTAACAGACTACATGTATCATTTGAATTACACTTGAAATAAGTGGCAAATCTTTTCATTTTCACACAATTAGTACCGATTTGTTTCAATTGTTTCACTATTAAGTCACTTAGCAATGGATTATAAAAGCAAATAATCTCCAAATCTATTAATTCTCGCATTTGTGACAAACCAGTCATCAGTACATCAATTTCTTTCTCATCGCAATCCCAACCGATATACACTTCAATTGTTTTCAAACTTTTGCTGTAATTTCTCACAACGTCTTCAATGCTATTCACGTCTTCCTTCATGTATTCAAAGCGAAGAGTTTGTAATCTCGGAAACAACACCACATTCCTATCACCACTTAACACATACGACAAATGTATATCATCTTGGTCGCAAAACAAATGAAGTTGCGACAAATTCGTGCATAACTTCAGGCTCGTGACGAACAGTTGCTTGTTAACATTGCTTTCCCACTCGGAGTCCATGAATGACTTTAATTGTTTGGCAAACTTTGCGAAAAAGTTAGTCAATGTTTGCGCGCTTATATCGGTGTCCTGGTTGACACACATATCACTCAAATGATGGCAATATCTGATGATTGACTCAAACATCGAGTTATTAAACATATGTGAATCCAAGTCATAATCAATTTTTGTAATGTTTGCACACTTTCTCACAATTAATTCAAACGTTTTGTCACTCATTAATAGTTTACACTTTGAGTCCACAATAAGAGCTGTTTGTGTCTTATATATCAATCGCTGCCACTGTTTGGACACACATTCACATCGGAACCGGTCTTCGAGTTCGAGATAAGACAATAAGTGTTGACACAAATCATCACCGAATCGGTCCAAAGAGTCGTTGCGATAGACGTTCGTGACATTCATTGTATGACTACCTCTTGTGGTCATTCCTCTCCTCTTATGAGACAATAAATGGACATAAATGTCAATTAAAGACTTATGCCATGAAATGCTAACACTGTCTGCAAAGCACACATACATATGGCATCTGTTATGTAACTGCCCTAAAGTATTGCATTACATAACATTGCATTACATAACATTGCATTACATAACATTGCATTACATAACATTCAAATACCATGTTACAAATAATGGACATTTTTGCCCACATGAACTGTGTAGTAACCTCATAATGCAAATACTGTACTGTATTTAACATGGTTAAAGTTTTTACTGAAATTTATAATTTAATCATATATTCATTGCATTTCAGTGATACTAATAATTATCATAAGTTTCCGGAGTTAATTTCCGGGGTAATTTAAGACAATCAAATGGTCATTTCATTGAAAATAAAATATACAAAAATGTTTTTATAGTCAATTATAATTCTACACATAAACCGCTTATAGTGAACAATAAAGTACTGTAATTATAACCACAACCGGCGGTATATTATTGTATAACTACAATAGAAAACCCTTAAAATACTACAATACATAATATTATTTTTCATAAATTAATCGATATTAATGCTAAATTATTAGATTAAATCCCATTATACAGAATATTCTAGAGTTAACATGGTCGATATACTTTAGACACTTATATTTGTATTCCAGTTTTGTATGAAATGAAAATTTTTGTTTAAACTAGAAATTCATTTATTAATTTTATTTATTTATAAACAGGTATATAACTAATAATAATTAGCCCACACAATTAATGGTCAATTTCCTAAGCTTAGGACAATTAGCAAGGCATTCATTAATTCCTTGTTGGGTATACTGTGGGCAACTACTGTCGCAATAAAGTTGAATGCATTGTATTTTAGGCAGTTTTGCTAATGAATGCAATACACTATCGGTTATTACGAAACGGTTAAGACTTATGGATTGAAGTCTCGGTAAATGTTTGTCAATATTTGTCACAAATTGTTGATTATATATGTGATTATTTTCATCTTGAATTAACAAATGTGTCAATCGTTTCAATCCATTCAGCGATTCACATATTAATTCATATGTTTGCGGCAGATATGCAGCGATTTGCAAACTTTTAATATGCTTAAAGTTTGTGTTAATTGTGTGTAACAATTGGGTAAACGTGTCCATTGAATCAAAAATCAAAATAATGGTTAAAATCTTAAGTTTTCTGTAAACACGAGTGATTTGTTTCAATCGATTCACTATTAAATCACTAACTGATGGGTGAAAGCAATAAATCTGTAAATCAATTAATGACTGCATTTGTGACAAACTAGTCATCAGTACATCAATGGCCATCTCATCGCATGTTTTATCGACGGTTACGTGAATTGCTTTTAAACTACCGATTCGTCTATACTTTTGCACAATTATTTCAATAGTATTCATGTCTTCCTTCTTGTATTCAAAGCCGAGAAATTGTAACCTTTTTAACAAAACCTCATTCATATCATCACTTAATATATACGCCGGACGTACGTCTCGTATGTCGCAAAATAGATTGATCCACGTCAAATT